TTCTTCGAATTAGAGTCAACAAGGCTTAAACTTGCTCTAAATCTGTTAAAAATAATTTGACGTTTTGTATTGAGAAATGCCAAACAGTTGTTAAAACTTCCTTACACGGGAGAAAAACCGTAAATTTTGACAGTGTCGAAGAATAAAATATTTTTTTACCACTATCAATTTGCATTCATGAATCAAAATACTAGGGAGCGAATTAATAAATGCCACAAAAAGCTGTTCCATTCAGTTGGATGTTTATAAAATAATGTACAGTGATCCTCTCCTAAAAGACACCTCCTATAAGCGGACCTTTCTGTCAGATGGACATTTTTGTTAGCCACGGTTTGAGCTAATGTATTTCAAATGACGTTGTTTTTCTGTTAAACGGACTGTTTTAGAAACGGACGTAGACAGTCCAATTTGGAACGTTGAAAACAAAATTTCTTCCTTAAGCGGACAGCATGTCATGCGCGTCTATGGTATTGTTATGACTGACTGTCAGAAAATTCGGGAAATCACATAACTGGGTGTATGTTTCATTAAAATTTGTGGTGAAATTCTGTCCATCTTTGTGTTCTTATGTATTACATATAAATACTACTTGCATTAAGTTAACGAAGAAATACCTAGAGGAGGAAATAGACTACTCATAAAAAATATTATACAGCATCTCCCCGGATTGAGTTTACAAAAAGAAAAAATTGTTATTTGTGATTATAGATTTAGAACAGTTAATTTTTCTCTTGATTTTGGACTTATAATAATTTTTCTCTGTTTTTCTCTCATTACATTGGAGATTTTATTTTTTTGACAACGATGTCACTTTAAAAATTAATTAATTGATTGAATAATAATAATTGTTCTTGTTAAAAATAACTGTTTTTTTTTATGTTTAAGTTGTCTTTTAAAATTGTGATTTAAAAAAATTATGTTTCTCAAATACATTTTTGTTATTTAAATTGCGTAAACTCATTTGTCAAAGTGGCTTCGTTTTCAAAAAAATTAAACCGCGAATGTAATGGAATTTAACGCTGAGAAAATTAATTCCACAAAATCAAGAGAAAAATTGATTTTTCTTTTTTCTAAGTCAGAATAATGAAGTTTTAATTATAGATTTGTTCGTTTCAAGAAGTAAACTACGTTATTTGAATTTTTCATCAAAAAATAGTT